TGTGTGTGTGTGTGTGTGTGTTTGATGCAGTAGGCAGGCTAATGGCCTGTGGGTATGCTTTAAGTGTAACTAAAGCATACCCACAGCATGATCTAAAGCACACAGATCATTGTATCTTTTCATAAAAATCGAATTAAGACGCAACTCTTCTCATGTTTTTAGTTTATTTGGGTATCTGTCACGTGCCACCCAGTGAGTATGAGTGTGTGTGTGTGTGTGTGTGTGTTTGTGTGGGAGGAGATGGAAGACATCCATGTGAGTGGAGACGCAGGCAGACAGAGAGGAGGAGGAAGGATAGACGTGAGAAGAAGGATGGCTCCAGGAAGAGGCATTCAGAGAGACGTAGGGAGGAGGGATGTCAATAAAACGTGACTCCGTGGGGAGGAGGGGAGCGTAGGACATAGCAAAGGCTGCATGTGTGCGAACATGTAGGTGTGTGTGTATGTTTGTGTGTCCTCCACGGCTGCCATCAGTGACGTAGTGCCAGACGTAGACAGAGAGTGGGAGGAGGAACAGGACGGAGGCACTCTGGGGACGCTCGGTGAGGGGGCGTTTGATTTCAACATGCTTCAAATTCCTAAATAGAAAGAGAGGCAGCTTTTTTTTTCAGGGTAATTACACCTGTGATGAGCTGGCTGCATACATGGACCACTTTTTCATTCACTAACTCGCTCATCCATTCAGGGATCCAGTTTGCAGGAGATACTCAGGAACATCTCAGTGACGTATATATTATCACACTGATAGTGAGTAAAGTGACAGCAGTGAGGTCTATAACTAGGATGAGATGGTAGTAAATCAAGCCCTCTCCAGGTAATATAGAGAAAAAAGAGAATCTGAAAAGAATGACTCATTAAGAGATAGAATTTGGATGACAGATGCTGTTGAATCATTGCAATTGCAAAAGTCATTTGTAAATTTCTAATATTGTGCAATAAATCTGCCTGTTTGTTTGTTTGTTTGTCTGGAAACTCCTCACGTATGATCAGGATCTACCAAAGCTGGCACAGGGTGCTTCACAGATCTCTGAAGGTTTTTATCGATATCAGATCATGTTGCCTAGCAATCACCTACCAACAGGCTAAACTGACTTATTTGTAGCATTTATGCACCTATAACATATTCAAGAGAGTAA